TTGAGAAACTCGTGTACACGAGACTATATTCATTTATAACAGCACAAAACATACTCAACTCCTGCCAATTTGGATTCAGAAAAAATAAAAGCACTAATGGTGCAATTGTACAAATGCTAGATCTGCTTTACACAACACTGGAAAAGAATGAATATCTCCTAGGAATTTTTATTGACCTAAGAAAAGCTTCTGACACAGTAGGCCACGGCATCCTACTCCACAAACTTGACCATTATGGTATAAGAGGCCATGCGCTTGCATATTTCAAATCCTACCTTACTAATAGGTATCAGTATGTCACCATTAAAGACACAGCCTCATCAACACGGCCACTTGACACTGGAGTTCCGCAGGGAAGTGTCCTTGGACCCCTGCTCTTCCTCATTTACATAAATGATTAGCCCTTGTGGCTTAGCGCTTCCTTTTGATTATAATAATAATACATAAATGATCTTCCAAATGTATCCCAACACCTGAAACCCATTCTCTTTGCTGACAACACAACTTATGTCATCTCCCACCCTATTCATGCCACCCTCAACACCATTGTTAATGAGGAGCTGCTCAAAATATCGACTTGGATGACAGCCAATAAACTTACACTTAACACTGACAAAACCTACTATATTATGTTTGGTAGCAGAGCAGATGTTGCGCAACTTAACATTAAGATCGACAACATTCTAATTGCCAGACATAATGAGGGCAAATTCCTAGGCCTATACCTTGACAACAACCTGAATTTCAGCACCCACATCCAACACATAACAAAAAAGTATCCAAAACGGTTGGAATCCTCTCCAAGATATGATACTTCGTGCCGCAAACTGCCCTTCTCACACTAAACCATTCACTCACTTATCCATACCACACCTATGCTATTTGTGCTTGGGGATCAATTGCAGCAACACACCTAAAGCCAATAATCACCCAACAAAAAGCCACAGTAAGAATAATCACTAAATCCTATCCCTGGCAACACCTCCCCCCTCACTATTCATAGATCTAAACTTACTCCCTGTTCAGAACATCCATACTTACTACTGTGCAATCTACATCTACAGGACCTTAAATTCCAGTATTAACCTTGACCTATAACACTTTCTTGATAGTTGTGACAGGACCCACAGGCATCACACCAGACACAAACATCTCTATGACATTCCCCGTGTCCGACTTAACCTTTTCAAAAATTCTATGCACAGTGGACCCCCAGTTCGCGATGCTATCGGTATCCGATAAATCCAGTATCTGATGCATTATATCGCAAAAAATTTGCCTCGGTTCCTGTTACAAAACCCGGTATGTGATACGATTCGTACGAGACGTGTCCACATGTGGCCTGAACTGCCCCGTGTGTGCCAGTGTTTACAAGCCAGCCAGTGTGCGCACACCTAAGGATACATTCAGTACATTCCAAATTATCAATATTATCACTGTTTTTGGTGCTTGTTTCTGCAAAATAAGTCACCATGGGCCCCAAGAAAACTTCTAGTGCCAACCCTGTGGTAAAAAGGATGAGAATTAGTATGGAAATTAAGAAAGATTTTGAAGGGTTTGGGGCTAACCCTGAGAAGCCTATGCCAGTTGTGGGATCCATTGTGCCTACTTTAAAAATTAAGGAAATGTGTGCACAGTGGGTTGAACTGCAAACCTTTATGGATGAAAATCATCCTAACACAGCTATTGCAAGCCGTGCTGGTGACTATTACACTGACAATGTTGTGAACCACTTTAGGAAAGTCATAAAGGAACGAGAGGTACAGGCCTCTATGGACAGATATGTTGTGCGACAGAAGTCCAGTGACTCTCAAGCTGGTCGTAGTGGCATTAAAAGAAGGGAAGTAACCCCGGAAAAGGATCTGCTACCTCAAGTCCTAATGGAGGGGGATTCCCCTTCTAAACAATAGGTTCAACACTCTCCCCTCCTCCCATCATATCAATCATCACCAGATCTTCATTAAAGGTATACCTGGTATACCTGGAGAGAGTTCCGGGGGTCAACGCCCCCACGGCCCGGTCTGTGATCAGGCCTCCTGGTGGATCAGAGCCTGATCAACCAGGCTGTTACTGTTGGCTGCACGCAAACCAACATACGAGCCACAGTCCGGCTGGTCAGGAACCGACTTTAGGTGCTTGTCCAGTGCCAGCTTGAAGACTGCCAGGGGTCTTCTGGTAATCCTCCTTATGTATGCTGGGAGGCAGTTGAACAGTCTCAGGCCCCTGACACTTATTGTATGGTCTCTTAACATGCTAGTGACACCCCTGCTTTTCATTGGGGGGATGTTGCATCGTCTGCCAAGTCTTTTGCTTTCGTAGCTAGTGATTTTCGTGTGCAAGTTCGGTACTAGTACCTCTAGGATTTTCCAGGTGTATATAATCACGTATTTCTCCCGCCTGCATTCCAGGGAATACAGGTTCAGGAACCTCAAGCGCTCCCAGTAATTGAGGTGTTTTATCTCCGTTATGCGCACCGTGAAGGTTCTCTGTACATTTTCTAGGTCAGCAATTTCACCTGCCTTGAAAGGTGCTGTTAGTGTGCAGCAATATTCCAGCCTAGATAGAACAAGTGACCTGAAGAGTGTCATCATAGGCTTGGCATCCCTAGTTTTGAAGGTTCTCATTATCCATCCTGTCATTTTTCTAGCAGATGCGATTGATACAATATTATGGTCCCTGAAGGTGAGATCCTCCGACATGATCACTCCCAGGTCTTTGACGTTGGTGTTTCGCTCTATTTTGTGGCCAGAATTTGTTTTGTACTCTGATGACGATTTAATTTCCTCGTGTTTGCCATATCTGAGTAATTGAAATTTCTCATCGTTAAACTTCATATTGTTTTCTGCAGCCGACTGAAAGATTTGGTTGATGACCGCCTGGAGCCTTGCAGTGTCTGCAATGGAAGACACTGTCATGCAGATTCGGGTGTCATCTGCAAAGGAAGACAGGGTGCTGTGGCTGACATCCTTGTCTATGTCAGATATGAGGATGAGGAACAAGATGGGAGCAAGTACTATTGTTTTTATTGTATTGTTATTGTTGTTATTGTAATTATTCTATTGCATTAAACTTAATATTTCATGTGGTAAAAGTTTTTTTTTCATACTTTTGGGTGTCTTGCACGGATTACTTTGATTTCCATTATTTCTCATGGCGAAAGTTGATTCGCTTTGCGATAATTTTGGTTTACGATGAGCTTTCAGGAACGGATTAATATCGCAAACCGGGGGTCCACGGTATGTCAAAGGGTCTAAAATCTGGAACACCCTACCTGAAAGCTCTAGAACTGCAGACATTCATCACTTTCAAAACTACCGTTAGACAACATCTTATCTCCCTGATACACCCCAACAACTAACTACAGTGGACCCCAGCCTTATGATATTAATCCGTTCCTGAGAGCTCATTGTGAGCCGAAATTATTGTAAAGTGAATTAATTTTCCCCATAAGAAATAACGGAAATCAAATTAATCCATTCCTGCCACACCAAAGTATGAAAAAAAAAAATTTTACCACATGAAATATTAATTTTAATACACACAAACTGAAGAAGACATGCACAATTACTACTCTACTAAGAACAGAATACATGACACTTACCTTTATTGAAGATCTGGTGATGATGGGATGGGAGAAGGGGAGAGTGTGGAAGTTATTGTTTAGAAAGGGGAATCCCCTTCCATTAGGACTTGAGGTAACAAGTCCTTTTCCGGGGTTACTTCCCTTCTTCTTTTAATGCCACTAGGACCAGCTTGAGTCACTTCACCTCTGTCACACAACAAATCTGTCCATAGAGCTCTGTACCTCCCGTTCCTTTAAGACTTTCCTAAAATGGGCCATAACATTGTCATTGTACAGGTTGCCAACACGGCTTGCAGTAGCTGTGTCAGGGTGATTTTCATCCATAAAGGTTTGCAGTTCAACCCACTTTGCACACACTTCCTTAACCTCTTTTTTTCAATTCCATTCTAATTCTCACCCTTTTTACCACAGAGATGGCACTAGAAGCTTTCTTTGGGTCCTTGGTGACTTATTTTGCAGTTACAAGCACTAAAAACACTGGGATAATGTGAAATGTACCGAATGTATGCATAGATGCGATCGCACTGGCTAGCTTGTAAACCACTGGCGCTGAGGCCACACGTTGGACGCATCCCAGACGAATCACATAAGGCGAGTTTTTTATTGTGAGGCGAGGCAAAATTTTTGCGTTCAAATGCTTCATATGGCGGATTTAACATAAGGCAGGGGTCCACTGTACATGAAAACCACCTGGTGGTTCACACTTACACTCACTCACTCGCTCACCCATTTGACTATAATCACAGAACTACGAATCTTAATCATAAAATAATGAATCCTAACTAGTCATAAGTTTGCCTGTGATACTCCAATACAGAACCTGTGTATTGTGCCAAAACAAAAGCATTCACATTGCTAAACTCACAAACTATAATGTAGTCACTTAGCATTAATACCAACTTACTCCATAATCTGTATTAATTTAGAGTTAAGAATTAATCTAAGTCTGCCTGAAATGCCTAGCCATGCTAGGTGTCCTAGTGGCCCCCTCTGTAATTAGTATTTTATAACATGTAAACCACACAATATCCAAAATCTGTAAACCCAGCATTGTAATCTTTATAGAGAATAAACTTGACTGATTGATTGATTGATACTGGTGTTCACTGAATATTTCACTGCAGAATTCTTGGTTACTGCAGTAAGCAGATTACAGACTTGACCTTATAGTATTTTCCATATATAAATATTGTTTATACTCCATATTAGCTCTCATGGGTACACACGACTGTTCTTTTGTTCTTTTTATAAATATATAAGGTATTCTGAACATTAATACAACTTATATCCTCTATGAGCTTATATGATTTATATGACTGACATTTCATTAACATACTTCATTCTCAACACTGTTACAGTATATCCCTTTCACATATTCTCATGAGTTTATAACTAAAATATTTCTGAAACATTAAACACTAACATGTTTTACCTCCTGTATGTACTCGCATATGTTTCACAAGATTGCCTTTTACACTAAAACATTTCAGACACTGCGAACACTGATATGGTTTATCTCCTGTATGTACTCTCATATGTCTCACAAGACTGCCTTTTTCACTGAAACATTTCAGACACTCTGAACATTGATATGGTTTATCTCCTGTATGTACTCTCATATGTGTCATAAGATGGTCTTTTACACTAAAACATTTCAGACACTCTGAACACTGATATGGTTTATCTCCTGTATGTACTCTCATATGTTTCACAAGAAGGCCTTTCACACTAAAACATTTCAGACACTCTGAACAGTGATATGGTTTATCTCCTGTATGTACTCTCATATGTGTCATAAGATGGTCTTTTACACTAAAACATTTCAGACACTCTGAACATTTATATGGTTTATCTCCTGTATGCACTCTCATATGTCTCACAAGATGACCTTTTACACTAAAACATTTCAAACACTCTGAACACTGATATGGTTTATCTCCTGTATGTACTCTCTTATGTCTCACAAGACTGCCTTTTTCACTAAAACATTTCAGACACTCTGAACATTGATATGGTTTATCTCCTGTATGTACTCTCATATGTGACACAAGACTGCCTTTGACACTAAAACATTTCAGACACTCTGAACATTCATATGGTTTATCTCCTGTATGTGCTCTCATATGTGACACAAGACTGCCTTTGACAGTAAAACATTTCAGACACTCTGAACATTCATATGGTTTATCTCCTGTATGTACTCTCATATGTGTCACAAGACTGCCTTTTTCACTAAAACATTTCAGACACTCCGAACATTGATAAGGTTTATCTCCTGTATGTACTTTCATATGCTTCACAAGATGGCCTTTTACACGAAAACGTTTCAGACACTCTGAACATTGATATGGTTTATCTCCTGTATGTACTCTCATATGTGTCAAAAGACTGCCTTTTTCACTAAAACATTTCAGACACTCTGAACACTGATAAGGTTTATCTCCTGTATGTACTCTCATATGCTTCACAAGATGGCCTTTTACACTAAAACATTTCAGACACTCTGAACATTGATATGGTTTATCTCCTGTATGTACTCTCATATGTCTCACAAGACTGCCTTTTACACTAAAACATTGCCGACACTCTGAACACTGATGTGGTTTATCTCCTGTATGTACTCTCGTATGTCTCACAAGACTGCCTTTTACACTAAAACATTGCAGACACTCTGAACATTGATATGGTTTATCTCCTGTATGTACTCTCATATGTGTCACAAGATTGCCTTTTACACTGAAACATTTAAGACACTCTGAACAGTGATATGGTTGATGTTCTTTATGTTTTTCCATATTTTTCAAATGATGATATTTCATTTAAAATATTTTAGTCATTCAACAGTGGTATAGTTAATATTCCTAATGTACTCATGTGTCTATTTAAAGATTTTTTAAAACTATTTTTTACACTGAACATACAGCTTTCCTTATGAACATATTCCCATGATAAGATTTATTTAGGCAAAACTTTTCCTACTTATAAGCACTAATAAAGCTTATATTGTGTGTCACAAGACAATCATAATTTTTGTTTTGTGTGTTAAAAGAGTAATACTGTATATATACTAAAACACTGCAGATACATTCAACATTTTTATTATTATTTTCTAGTGTTTTTAAACAGATTTTTCTGAAAATCATTCATTACAGTACAGTGGACTCCCAGTTTTCGGCCGGTGCGAAAATTGTATAATTCAGATTTCGAGAACTTTTCTTGGCAAAATTTCCCCTGGGTTTCATACATCCACTCAGAAATCGTTGGTACCAGACATGTGCACCTGGACTGCTCATAAATTTGTGACTCACTCTTGGGCACATTAAATGTCTTATTTTATGTTAATATAGACATTTTCATTAATCCATCGATGATATTTTCTTCAAAATTATATAACACGTTACATAGCATATAAACATGCAATGTTTATATGCTATCAAAGGGTGGTAGTCGGTGGAAGGAAAACATCACGTTTTCTCTGGTCCAGCTTCAGAGAAAATGTGCGTGACTCTGCGTTGGCCCAGTAACCACCCTTAATACATAAAGCTTTTGTTTACAATTCTCAGCATGAATTATTCATTACTTTTTCCTTTGTTTATGATGGCATCTAAAGGTAGCTGCTAGAAATGATTAAACTCAATAAACATGGTATGTCGATGGTAATAATATGGCTGTGGGCCACAGCGTATGTAGCCGGTAGGTAAGGGGTTGGATGCGAGTGGCCAGGATGTGGAAGAGTTGGTGGACAACCACAGGGAAGACTTAACCACTGAAGAGCTGGTCCTAGTGGCAGTAAAAGACTAAGAAGGGAAATAACCCCAGAGAGGGCTTTGATACATGAAGTCCTTATGGAGGGGGATTCCCTTCCAACCAATGATCTTTCCTCCTACCTCCCCTCCTCGCCTTCTTCAATACGCCAATAAGAGTCTTCAATAAAGGTATGTAATGTTCATTTATCATTAAAATCAGTCATTTATATCTATTTCTCATTGTTTTCTGTTTGTAAAACTATAGCTATTCTCTATAAAATGTATTTCTTGTTAATATTTTTGGGTGTCTGGAATGGATAATTGAACTTACATTATTTCTTTAGGGAAATATTACTTCGGTTTTCGGCCATTTCGGATTTCGGCCAACCTTGTAGAACTGATTAATTACGAAAACCAGGGGTCTACTGTATTACTAACGTGCATTTTTCTATTAACTGCCATGCAGCTTTAGATAAAATTCCCAATAGTAAAAGCAAAATTGCTTAATTAATAATACTTAGCTAGTTAAAAATTCACAAGAATAGCAGGTGTTGCCTTCCTTGAAGTGCTGAAGATATAGTGTCTAGCAAGACACAACCTGGCAGTCTTCCACAAAATACTTCTGCAATATCACTTGTCGTTCAAGACACTTACACTGGTGCTTCTTGAAGTACTGAAGATATAGTGTCTGGCAAGACTCAGCCTGGTAGTCTTCCACAAAATACTTCTGCAATAGAAACATGAGTCAGTATCATGCAATATTCAACAATTACCAATACAACATACTGAACATGTTTTACTAAATAGAATTGTTACTTTTAAATGTTTATCCATAAAGATATTCCGGATATCACAAGTTGTTTATAATAATTATGTCAACTAATAATTGTGTAAACAAAATGGCTCCAACACAAACATCTTTAATTTTTTATAATATTCATGATGTCTAAAAATAATAATAATAATAATAATAATAATAATAATAATAATAAATAAAAATCAATAATAAAATAATAATAATAATAATAATAATAATAATAATAATATCAATAATAAAAAAATAATAATAATAATAAAAATAATAAAAATAATAATAATAATAATAATAATAAAAATAATAAAATAATTAATAAAGTAAAATAAATATAATAATTAATATAGAGTAGGAGGTTGGTAGACGCAACCACCCAGGGAATACTACCATCCTGCCAAGTGACTGTGAAACAAAGAAACCTGTAACTGTTTTACATGTTGGTAGGATTGCTGGTGTTTCTTTTTCTGTCTCATAAACACCTGGATAACAGGTATATCTTTGCTACTTCTACTTACACTTAGCACACTACACAGCATACACAGCATATACACCTACCATCTGATTACGACCAAGCTTGGTTCAACCAACCGTGTAAGTCAAAATGGACTAAGTCAAATCTTTAAAATTCCCGAATACGGTAGGCTAATGTAAAAACTTTTCCTATACAGGGGCCCCGCTTTATGATTATCGAGCGACCAATATAAGGATTATGTAAATGCATTGTACGTATGTTTGGGTCTGAAATGGACTAATCACTTCACAATAATCCTTTATGGAACAAATTTTTCATACTGGCACTGAACATATTATGGAATGAAATAAATCGTAAACCGGGGGCCACTGTAAACTACCTACAAGTACAGTCCCCATCACAAATCCGCATCATTGGGACCTGAGTGGCTGTTTAAACTGAGTTTGCCGAATTACAGAGTGGTTAGAATACACTTAATAAAATTAACCAACTTGACTTACACAGTTCATTGAACATTGGCAAAAATCGAACATTTCCGCTACTTTGAGCTCAATTTCAAGGTACTTTTCGTCATGAAAGCAATCAAAATCATGTATATTTCTGTAATATATCATCCATTCTATCAAATGAGTCCAAAAAATGAGAATACAACCATAAAAACCATACAAAAATATACTGCAAAGAGGCGGCTAATGGCTGAGAAGTGAACTCCCTTATTTATCGTCTGTCTTTTTTATTTTTGTTGTACGTTAAAAAGCATCTTTCCATCATACATTGCCCAAGTTTCAATGAGATAGCCCAACAAACAACCAAGAAAAAAAAAATATTTACCAAAAATCATATATGGCAAGCCCAAGCCAGGTACTGGAAATAAGTCACTTTGTCTGACTTTTCTGGGTTATTCTAGGTTCTCTATACATACACTGCTATGTATGACAATCTATGTAACTGTATTTGTGTATACCTGAATAAACTTATTTACTTCTAGTCTGTCAACTGAGTACAAGAAACCACCCATTCACTTATTTCAACTACCCAATAAAGTGGTCAGAAATTGGCAATTTGGCCGATTTCACACAAATTTCAACAGATGCCAATTTCAAAATAGGGTCCAGAATAAACAATGCAGACATTCCTGGCACTAAAATAACATTGTCTCTGTTCATCAGTCACAGCTACAGGCCCCTCTTACATTACTCTTGCTTACCATTTGAAATTTTTATTCACAAAAAAAAAATAAAAGATTTACTGTTATGCAGACTACTGCATTATTGTAATAAATGTATAAATAATGTCAATCCATTCTTGACTCCATACTGGAATTTGGACTGGCAGGCAGACAGGTATTGGACAGTGACGTCATTTGTTTACTCTTGAGATTCGCTAAAGAATAGAACATTTTCGCTACTGTGAGTGCAATTTCAAGGTACTTTTCATCATGAAAGCAATCAAAATCATATCTATTTCTTTAATATACCTTTCATTCTATCAAATAAGACAGAAAAAATGAGAATATAACCATAACAACCATACAAAAATACATATACTGCTAAGCGGCCGCTAATGGCCGAGAAGTGAACTCCGCTATTTATGGTCTGATTTCTTTCATTTTTGGTGTACGTGAAGAAGTATCTTTCCATCATACATTGCCCAAGTTTGAATAAGATAACCCAACAAACAACTGAGAAAATAATAAAATAAATAAAAAAAATAATAATAATAATAATAATAATAATAATATCTTTATTTACTACATGTACAAGGTATACAGGCCTAGCTGACATCAGTGACATACTACTGTATAGAAAGGCACTTGTTATGCTGAGTATTTCTAAAAAATTAGGCCAGTGTCCCAGGATAACACCCACACTAGTCGACTAACACCCAAGTACCCATTTACTGATGGGTAAACATAGACAACAGGTGTAAAGAAACACGCCTAATGTTTCTACCCTGGCTGGGAATCGAATATTTACCAAAAATCATATATGGCTAACCCAAGCCAGGTACTAAAAATAAGCCACGTTATCCTAGGTTCTCTACACATATGCTGCTATGTGTGATAATCTATAGAAAGAAAATAACTTTTTTGTTTCATGTTTATGGTGGAGTACGAGTGGGATATCATAGTTAGCCCGTGCTATACTCCGCTTTCTCTAATATGACCCCCAAGACAAGGATAGGAGAATGGTATTTGTTTACCATACCCTCTTCATAACTCTGTCGAACTGCTCGGTGTTATGCCAAATATTATTCATTCTGGAGTATTTAACATGTTTTATGTTATTTATATTGTTTCTTATGTCATATTAGATCAATTTTGATAGGCAAATAAGCTTGTAATTTGATATTAGCATAATAATAAAGCATATTCTCCTGCTTTATGAGACTGAGCTCATGGGAACCGACAGTGGCTTCAAAGCCACCTTATTTTTTAATGGATAATGTAATGTGTAGGTGCTTTACATAATAAGAAGCATTTCTTTTATTCATTGGAACCATGGCTAGGGCTAAAAGTAAGTAGGTTAAAACAATAAATGGAGAAAAAGAAATTGGAATGACTTATGCAGCAAGTAGTGCCACCAAACAGTACCAGCAGGTTGGTGTGGCGACCCTGGAAATTTGAAATTATGATAGCCAAAATTAGTGCTGAATAACTGAAGGAACCGAATAACTGATTGCCGGATTTGTGATGGCGGACCTGTACTGTAATGTTATGTACAATGATTATTTCATTCTTTTTACCATAATTTACTTCTATTGTTATATTTTAATTATTTATGTACTGTATATAATGTATACATGGTAGTGAACTGTATTGTAAATTTTACATCGCATACAGTATCATATGTTACTGTTATCTTTATGTATTGTCGACAAAAGTGGAATGGGAGAATACCACTGGTAGTGTCATCCTGCCAGAATGTTGTATAACCTATACCCTAAGTAAAGAAAACAACTCTGGAACATGTGTAATATGTATCCGGCTGGCTGGCTTTGGGGTGGGTGGGGGGGTGGCCGGGTGAGTGGGTGGCCAGGTGGATGGTTGGCTGACTGAATGTGGCTCTCTCTCTCTCTCTGTATCTCTCTCTGTATCTCCTCTGTATCCCCCTCTCTCTCTGTATTTTCTCTCTGTTTTTCCCTCTTTTCCCCTCTCTTTCTCTCCTCTCACCGGGGTATCTTAATTTAATTTATCATACATAATTTTAAATTACCAGGAAAACCCCAAAAAAATCCAGACAAAGGGCATACAGTGAACCCTTGCTCCAGTGCCCTAAATTAAAATTTTAAATTATTTTAATGATTATTATTTTTAAATTTTACCCATTATTATTATTATTTTTTTAAACAATAATACATTTTTTTTTTTTTTATTATAAACCGGGCCCGATTCCCACCGGGCAGGGGGGCCCGAAAAAGAAAAACTTCACCACTTTTCCACTCCAAAACTGTCTTGCCAAAAAGGGGCTTTACACTACAGTTTTTAAACGGGCAACATTAAACACCCCTCCTTCAGAGTGCAGGCACTGTACTTCCCATCCCCAAGGACTCAAGCCCGGCCCTGGGGTTTTTCCCTAAATTTCCCTTCATAAATTTACTTTGCTCACCCCAACAGCACTAAAAAGTTTTAAAAAACCCAAATTTTTTCTCCATTCACTCCTATCAAACCGCTCACGCATGCCTGCGGGAAGTCCAAGCCCCCCCACACACAAAACCTCCTTTAACCCCCCTTCCCCAACCCCCTTTCCTAGGCCGACCCCACCCCGCCTTCCTTCCACTACAGACTGTACACTCTTAAGTCTTTTTCTTTTCGCTCCATTCTCCACATGCCCCGAACCACCTCAACAACCCTTCCTCAGCCCTCGGCAACAGTTTTGGAAATCCCGCACCTCCCCTAACCCCAAACTACAATTCTCTGCATATATTCACACCACAAAATTCCCCTCAAAAAGAAACCCTCCACGCCTCCACCTTCTCCTCGCTGCAAAAATTCATCACCCACGCTTCACACCCATATAAGAGCGTTGGTAAAACTATACTCCAAAAACTTTCCCCCCTTCTTTGCCCCCAAGGCAAAGTTTTTGGGCCTCCACAGACTCCTAATGCCCCAAAACCACTTTTTTTCCCCTCATCAATTCTTTTATTCACCTAAATCTTTCATAGACCCATCTGCTAAAACCGTCCATTTCCCAAATTCTGAATACGTTCACCTCCTCCATACCCCTCTCCCCCAATTTTGATATTCAATCTTTCACCCACCAAAACTTTTTGTTATCCTCATAACCTTACCTTTCCGTATTCACCTTTTTAAATTTTTTTTTGAAAACCCTAAAACCAAATTTATCCCCCAATCTCTGCAACTTCTTTTTCAGAATTTTCCCCAAAAGCACAGTGTCATCACAAAAGCAGCTGTGACAAAATCCCCCCTTTGTGTGTGATT